GCGTAATCCTATAATCCTGACACAGTCTCAGTCCCAGTTAGTGAGAACAGGTGTTGTTTACGGCTACTTGCCATGGGAAAACCGGAAATTCCGGATCAAAAATCAAATGGTTTGCGCCATCCCGTTTTGGACGCTTTAGAAAACATGGGCTGTGATCTGAGGTGATGCAATTTTTCTTCTTTTTTTGGTCTGTTCAGCTTATATGGATATACGTTGTAGAGGGTCGTTGTCCCACCACGTCAAATTTAAAAGTTTTATGTTTATGCACAAGGTGTTTGTGTGGATGGTAAGCACCCGTACATTTAGGCTAATACCATAATAGTCCGAAAATAAGCCCCGGGGCTTATATTAGGAGTGGCTTATGTACGGAGGGAAATTTGCGTTTCAAAGTCAATTGGGCTAGCCTTATTTTTGGAAGGAAATTTGCCGTTTTTCTTCGCTTTACTTTGTAGGGCAATTTCCAAGTACAAGCCCCCCCCCCCCCGGGAGGGGGGGCTTATATTTGGAGGTGCGATTGAACGGAGGTTTTTTTGCGTTAGGAGTTTAAGGGGCTTGTACATGGAGGGGCTTTCTTTCGGAATTTTACTGTATTCGGTTAAGACTTTGCAGTTTCTTATTGAGGAAGGGATCTTGTGGGTTTATATTCCTCTAACCGTCTATATGAAGGCCAACCCTCACAGCGTAGGGCTTTATATACTAGCTTTCACAAATGAAAATCTTTACGGTGATATATGGGTAATCAACCTACTTTGATTAAAAAGAAAGAAAGGTTAAAAAAGAAAGGAAACTTGTCAGGCAATTATCATACCATATATTTCTGCTGTATATCTTAAGCTTGTCCCAGTCCAAATGATGTATTCAATGATATATTTGTTATTAATAAATTTTTTTCCACTTTTCTTTATGGTTCAAAATGTAAAAGGGATAGTAGTAATATTTTAAAAAGAACACACTTGAGCAAATTTGAAATTTAAAAGATTACAGGAAAAAAAGCTTTACCTCCAATCTCTAATAAAATCATATACCTGTCAAAACGAAGACGTTCAGACCATTAGCTATAAATGCCTTGAAACGAGTCTTAAATATAAACGGGTTCTATCGTCACCTTGCACGTATCGGTAAATTGGGCTTTTAACACTCATCCCGTTTAGTATCCCAACAGCTTGCCCAGTTCTTTCCTGAAGGTGAATACACCGACCATGTTCGACAAGTTCAAGTTCTTTTCTAAACATCTGTAGAAATACTCTGGGCATTCACTGCGTACTTGTTGAAGGTCAATCAACGTCTGTCCGTTTATCTCCGAAATGTCTTCCTTGCAAACCTTTTCTAATCCGATTTCTTTGAACCACTCTTTCACCTCTTCGTTAGTCCAGGTAGACACCCCATGGGATGAGGGCAAAGTGGCAACAATATCAGCTTGAACTGCTTTCACCACTGGCTCGGATGGTCCATCTGTCACGTCAACATCCTTTCCTCTTCCTCCTAGTTCTTTGATCAGTTTTGTTACTCCTTGTTCTATAACGTGTTTGCTGTGAAAATCAATCCAAAACTTTGTTCCCACGAGCATTCCTAGCCAACCGTCTGGTTTGTAGTTGCGTTGCATCATCAGTGGAATAATATCCTTTCCTAACTTATACGTGTACTCGGCCTCTGAACGACAGTTAGGACTCTCCTTGTATCGCTCTGATACGCAGACAAGGACGACAGAAGAATCCTTTAATGGCGACAGGCTCTCGCCTGGCGGTGGCGGTGACGGTATTTGTTTAGAGTGGTACTTATGGTATTTTCTCGATGCTCCGGCACCCATAGTGATACGAGGTTTCTAAGACAGGTCGACAGAAACGATGTTCTGTAACTGCCGTCAAGCAAACCGAGACAATAATGTAAGCGAACTACTATGTACTTTTTGCCAGCTTTTCAGCTATAATGAGGTGCTCTACCGATGTTTTGAGAAATGAGCGAAAATCAAATGAATATGAATTGTTAATGCATCTTGACACATAATCGGATTATTTCAGCGTAGCGAGATGGGTGAGACTTCCGTGATAAACGAGACCTTGTATACGTCAAAGAACTGTATAACCCATAGCACCGAAGAGTCTCTTTTCACTGATCACCCGTTGCCATGAAAAAATCGCGTTACCTGACGGGGTTCACTGTTTTGACTTCAATACTTCTCTTGTCTCCTTTAAAACTATTCCACACACATGTAAATTGCAACAACACAGCGTTGTCATAGAAAAATTCTAAGAAGGAAAATGAGAAATGTAAAAATCCGATTTAACAATTAATTAGACTTACTAATAAACCATTGTAGGATGTATTTATTTTCAACGCACGCATACTGCCGTCGCATTTTCATTCGCCTTTACGCCCCAAAGACTCTTTGCAACCTAGACAGACGTAGGGTGCATTCATTTGCTGATTTTCGCATAATTAATTCAACAATTACTTTGTTAAACTGAGTTTCCTACGAATTTCGCTGAAATGGTTTCTCTCATGACTTCGTTGGCAGTTTTAAACTTGTCTGAGTAACTTTCCCTGCATTTAAATCTCAATATCATTATGCATCCATGCATACCTCGCTTTTTCTTTCCAGTTTTGTTTTTTGTTTGCCTTCAAATGTAAATCTGTTTGCTATTCATTATTTGGCGTGAAATAGACTGAAGGGCGACCGACCGAAACTGGATTATTTTCTTCGAGCGTTCTGCCGATATTTCAGTTCATTGGGGTTAATTACGTCTTTAGGAAGAACTCTCTCTTACCTTAATAAAATATATTTTTTATTTAAGACAAAATAAAGTTTCAACAGGAACTCCTAATTAATTTAAAAACAGTCTTTCGAATTATTTTTCATAGAAAAGGGCTAACTTACTAGTTACATAAGATCTGGTAATGATACACTGAAAATGTTCTCTTTAACTCGGGTAACTATAGAGGTGATCGATCAGATGGTTCGACCTGTAGAACTGACGTTACACTCCAAACTGGATTTGTGACGTTGGGTCTCAGCTGTAACTTCCGGGTTGCTGTTGCAGTCATTCGAAAATAAAGGACAGGGTTTTATTGCGAGAAATATTGAAAGGAAACTTTACTGATCTATTTAATGATATCTTCTGTAAAGTCTATTTTTAATCTTATCTATTTTAATGATATACGTGTCTTTTTCTTCCCTTTGCTTGCATAGCACTTTTTAATAATCATTCGATACATACATTTCAAATTTAAAAGAATAAACTTGAGCAAATTGGAAATGTGTTAAATGATTAGTTTAAGAAAAGCTTTCCTCGCAATCCCATTGATGGCCACGTGGCTAAGCCTTCTGCGAGTTTTTTTGCAGAATATCCATTCGAATGTCGATCTTCCGACTGCCATGCCTCATCTAATAATGTTATTATAATGCTAAGCAAGTTCTCGTCCGCCAAAATGAGATGATTCGTGTTTTCATCAACTAAATATGCTAGAGCGGTAAGCAGAGATTCGGCTGCAATTGCTGGAACTTCTTTCTTAGCAAAGTAAAGCAACGTTTGCTCACGGTTAGCAAACAGCTCACGGTCCCGAAGTCGCCGTGAAATGTTATGCAGAATTCCAATAGAGTTGTCAATTATTTTAACTTGCTTCGAGTCTTCATCTTCCCAGTTGGGATTTTCAGCATCAATTCGTTTAATGATTTCAAAGCACATTGAAATGCGCCTGCAGCCGCACACGCTGAGCAAAAACCTTGGTGAAAGTCTGAGAAGTTTTGTATTGCCGCTAAAGTATTCGAAAGACAATACATGTGTAGTCGTCAGTTTCTTCTTCATCGTCAGACTCTTCTTTAATGAGGTAGCTGAATTTCTTAAAGCAATGCTGTACGAAACGTTTCAATTGTTCAGCGCCACATTATCGATTTATTCACACCGTTACGAACCACTCGTTGCCATGCATAAATCGCGTTACCTGGCGGGTTTCGCGTTGACGTCAATTACAATAACGTTGTAACATAGAAAAACGCTAAAAGTAAAAATGAGCATTGTAAAAATCCAAATAAGAATTAATTAGACTTACTATAAAACCACTACAGGGTGCATTTAGTATTTTCAACCAACGCGTACAGCCGTCTCATTCATTTGCTTTTACGCCCCAAAGACTCTTTACAGAAAATGAATGTTAAATCTATCTAGGTTTATAAGCAAGCGTAATTAATTCCCTGTTTGTTTTGTTTCTTCCTTTTATTTTCCTTTTTACTATTTTTCCAAGAGAAAGGTATTGAAATAAGACGTACAGCACCATCCATCCGTGTAGCGTAACGAGAGCCATTCGCATGATTCATTCAATATAATTATCTTGTAAAACTGAGTTCTATGAAGTTCGCTGAAATTGTTTTTTCTCATGGCTTTTCGTCAACAGTTTTAAACTTGAGTAACTTTCTAATTGGGGACACTGAAAATGCTAAAATTCTCTAAAATTTTAAACTTATATTTTTGCAGTATTGAACAACCCTTTATCTCTTAAACTTGCCGATAAACAGACAATTGAAGATGAACTTAACGTTGATGGAGGTAAGCATGTTCTTCAGAACGAAATTTGGGCTGTGAATTGCAGCGATGCAATTTTTCTTCTTTTTTTTTTGGTCTGTTCAGCCTTGGATATACTTTGTAGAGGGTCGTTCTCTCACCACGTCAAATTTTAAAAAAGTTTTATGTTTATGCACAAGGTGTTTGTGTAGATGGTAAGCTCCCGTACATTTAGGGTAATATTCGGGAACGACTTTGCAGTTTCTTATTGAGGATCGGATCTTGTGGGTTTATACTCCTCTAACCGTCGATTTGAAAGCCAACCCTCACAGTGTAGGGCTTTATTACTAACTTTAATACATGAAAATCTTTACAGTGATATATGGGTAATCAACGTACTTTGATTACCAAGAAAGAAAGCCTAGAAAAGATGGAAGGAAACTTTGTCAGGCAATTATCATGCCATATATTTTTGGTGTATATCTTAAGCTTTTCCCAGTCCAAATGATGTCAGTATTCAATGATATATTTGTTATTAATACAACTTTTTTTTCCACTTTTCTTTTTGGTTCAAAATGAAAAGGGGTGGTAGTAATATTTTAAACAAGAAAACACACTTGAGCAAATTTGGAATGAAATAAAAGATTACAAGAAAAGCTTTACCCGCTATCTCTTATAAAGTCATAAACGTAACATACGAAGAAGTTCAAACCATAAGCTATAAATGCCTTGATCTAAACGGGTTGTTCTATCCATATCTTGCACGTACCGATAAACTGGGCTTATAACACTCAGACACACACTGCGTCCCATAGCTTGCCCAGTTCTTTCCTCAATGTGAATACATCTACCATGTTCGACAAGTTCAAGTTCTTTTCTAAACATCTGTAGAAATACTCTGGTCATTCATTGCGTATTGGTTGTTGAAGGTCAATCAAGGTCTGTCCTTCTTAACACAGCTCTCCCAGCCCCTTCGTAAATGTGAATATATCTAGCATGTTCGTCAAGTTCAAGTCCCGCTCCAAACATCTGTAGAAATACTCGGGGCATTCGTAGCGTAATTGCTGAAGATCAGTCAGTGACTTTCCATTCATCCCCGAAATTTTTTTCTTACAAACCTTTTCTAAACCGATTTCTTTGAACCACTGTTTCACCTCTTCGTTAGTCCAGGTAGACACTCCAGGGGATGAGGGTAAAGTGGCAACAATGTCAGATTGAACTGCTTGCACCACTGGCTCGGATGGTCCATCTGTCACGTCAACATCCTTTCCTCTTCCTCCTAGTTCTTTGATCACTTTCGTTACACTTTGTTCTAATACGTGTTTACTCTGAAAGTCAAACCACATCTTTCCTGTCACGATAATGCCCAGCCAACCGTCTCCTTTGTAATTACGTTCCATCATCAAAGGAATGATATCTTTCTTCAAGTCATAAGCGTACGTCGCCTCTGAACGACAGTTTTGACTTTCCTTGTATCGTCGCGAGACACAGACAAGAACAACAGAAGCATTCTCAACAGCTTCAGCCATTGCCTCCAAGGTCGATCCTTTCATCTGCTCCAGATCCATCCATACTCTGTATCCACTTGCTTGAAGCCTGTTTTTCACTTCGACAAGCACTTCCTGGGAATCCCATTGGTAGCTGATCATCACGTGATTCCCGCTCGATTTCATCCTTTCCGAGTGCCTAGCTGTCTTTCCTTCCAGTTCCCACAATGCACCTGCAGCAGCCTTCTGCACTTCTGGGTTCTTGCTCTGTTGTAACTGGTGTAAGATGTCCATAGCCCCTTTTTCTTGACGTATTCTTTTTCTGTTATTGTCATTAAAAGCTACCATCCACAACGCTCTTGTAGCACTGGCTTTCTCCTCATCCTCGTTGGACGTTTTGATCACTTGAATTAAAACAGGAATGACTCCGATTTGTCCCAAAATTTTCTTGTTGTCGTCGTTGACGGCCAGGTGGCTAAGGCCCTCTGCGAGTTCCTTTGCAGAAAATCCATTCGAATGTCGATCTTCCGACTGCCATGCCTCATCTAATAATATTATTATAAATCTAAGCAAGTTCTTGTCCGCCGAAATGAGATGATTCGTGTTTTCATCAACTAAATATGCTAGAGTAAGCAGAGATAAAGCTGCAATTGTCCGAACTTTTGTCTTAGCAAAGTGAAGCAACGTTTGCTCACGGTTAGCAAACAGCTCACGGTTAGAAAACAGCTCACGGTCCCTTAGTCGCCATAAAATGTTATGCAAAATTCCAATAGAGTTTAAAATTAGCTCGGTGACTTTATATTTTTCTTCCCAGTTGGGGTTTTCAGCATCAATTCGTTTGATGTTTTCAAAACACATTGAAATGACACCTGCATCCGCACACGCTGAGCAAAAACCTTGGTGAAAGTCTGAGAAGCCCACTATTACCCCTAGAGTTTCAGAAAGACAATCGTAACATGTGTAGTCGTCAGTTTCTCCTTCATCGTCGGACTCTTCATCGTCGGACTCTTCTTTAATGAGGTAGCTGAATTTCTTAAAGCAATGCTGTACGAAAAGTTTAAATTGTTCAGCGCCACCGACATCAATGGTGAATTCGATAAGTGTGATAAACTGTTTTTCCTCTTGAGTCCCAGCGGATTCAGATCTGCGGAAGTTTGTTTCAACTAAACCCGCGATCGTTTGTTTACCCAACTTGGCATAGTCTTCAGGGTCATTTAAATCTTTATCAACAAAGTTTTTGAGCGCTTGTAGTCTTTCAAGCATTGTTTCTAGATCCTCAGCTTGGTCGGGATATTTGGCCTTGTACATTTCAAGAGTATCGTTGGGTGAAGCTTCCTTATCAGTACTGGTCTGACTGGTTCGAGCAACGTCAACCTGTTCTTTTATGTCCTTGTTCTGTGCTTCGTGACTGAAATGTTGTTCTTGGACAGGAGTCTTTGGTTGAACAGTATCCTTTAATGGCAAGAGGCTCTCGCCTGGCGGTGGCGGTGACGATATTCGTTTAGAGTGGTGCTTATGGTGCTTTTTCGATGCCCCGGTACCCATAGTGATACGAGGTTTCTAACACAGGTCGACAGAAACGATGTAAATCTGTAACTGCCGTCAAGCAAACCGAGACAATATTGTTAGTGAACTACTATGTACTTTTTGTCAGAATTTCAGCACTAGATTTCGATTTAACTATTCATCTGACATATACCAGTGCTTTGTACCACCTATCTGCTGTACCGAGGTTTCGAGAAATGAGCGTAAATCGGTATGAATTGTTAATGCATCTTGACACATTATCGGATTATTTCAGCGTATCGAGCTGGGTGAGACCTCCGTGATAAACGAGAACTTGTATACGTCAAAGAACTGTATAACCAATAACAACAGAGAGTCTATTTTCACTGACTACTCATGCAAAAATCACGTTACCTCACGGGGTTGATTGTGACGTCAATACTTTTTATGTCTCCTTTATAACTATTCCATACAGCTTTTTCGAAAAAGGTTGTCGGAAAAGTGCACCCAAAAACCCCGAAAGGTATTGTGGGTTGATTTGAGTTCACTGTTCTTCAAAGAAATTTGAAAGGCACAAGATGCCATGGACGTATGTTTGCGAGTGCCCAGGAAAGCAACAAAAGTAGGTTCGACAGCTACAGTGTCAGAAAGAGTATGCTGATCATATCCCATATTACCTTTCGAGATTGCGGCGTGCGCATTTTTTCCGACAACCTTTCTCGAAATAGCTGTAAAAGGGAAAATTCAAAATGCAAAAATTCCAAATAAGAATTAATTAGACTTACTAATAATCCACTCTAGGGGGCACTTATTTTAAACTTACGCATACAGCCGTCGCATTCATTTGCTTCCCCCTCCCCACCCCCTCTTAAAAACCCTTTGCAGCAAGCAATTGCACCCTATCTAGGTTTATAAGCAGGCCTAAGTAATCCCCTATTTGTTTTTTTCCCCTTTTCCCTTTTTCTTTTACTATTTTTTAAGACAAAGTTATTGCAATAAGGTGCACATCACTATTCATCCGTGAAGTGTAACAGGAACTTTTCGCATAATTAATTCAACAATTATTTTGTTGAACTGAGTTTTCTTACGAATTTCGCTGGAATGGTTTCTCTCGTGACTTCGTTGGCAGTTTTAAACTTGTCTTAGTAACTTCCCTGCATTTGAATCTCACTATCATAATACATCCCTTCATACCTCACTTCTTCTTTACAGTTTTGTTTGCTTTCAAATGTAAATCTGTGTTCGCTATTCATTACGTGGCGTAAAATTGACCGAAGGGCGACCGACCGAAACTGAATTATTTTCTTCGAGTGTTCTGCCGATTTTTCCTTTGGGGTTAATTACGTCCTTAAGAAGACCTGTCTCTTGCTTTTAAAATATACACTAAAGTTATGACAAAAGAAATTTTCAACTGGAACTCTTAAAAACAGTCTTTCTAATTGTTTTTCCTTTATGTTTAATAATCTATTGTTAACTAATGTTCCCTTTCAGCTAGACGCAGTAACTATACAGGTGGTTGGATGGTTCGAACTGCAGAACTTGCTTTCTCAGCGTACATTGTACTCTAAACTGAATTTGTGATGTAGGTTCTGGTACTTCCGGGTTGCTGTTGCATTATCAGTATTCCGAGGAGAATTATACTGGCATTTGAAACCGGCTGACAGGGTATTTATGATTGCATGCGAAAAAAGCAGAAGGAAGTTTGGCAGTCCAAATTATATATTCAATGATGTATTGGTGTTATTACACAACTTTTTGTCTTCTTTTCCCTGGCTTAACCTAGGTAGTATTTTCTTCAAATCCTATTCATTTTTAAAATATCATTATCATCTCTATCTTATTTTGAACCATACAGGCCCTATGATTCAAAATAAAAAGCGATGTTAATGATATTTTACAAAATAAAAGTTAATACAATTGAGCAAATTTAAAATGAATTTAATAATTATTACAAGAAAAGTTTTCCTCGCAATCCCTTTTAAAATTGTGCAAGCTTATTATACTTAATCGCCTGTGAGACAACTCTGACGGAAGGCTTACAACAGTCACACCGAACGCTTGCTAACCGGCTTAGTCACTTCTTTGACGAGGAGATGGCGATATCTTCCCTTAAGGTTGGCTTGAAGGTGAGGCAACTCGACTAACCCTCACAAAAATGTGTTTTTGTTCTTGCGCCTTTTTTATGTATGGATTAACTCTGATCATGAAATGCGCCCGATATTTACGAAGCAAAACTTCATAACAGTGGCGGTCTGAACACAAAGCAAGCGGAACAAGCATACAGCCCAGTAAAGCGTCTCGATTGTATAATTTTTGTTTCAACCGGAAGTGACGTCTTCCCTGGTGAGTCAGATATGAAAATCTGACGAGTTTTTGGTTCTGGCATAATTACAGTATAAACAAGAGCTAAGTTCCCCCATCTGTCTAAAGCTAGTTGATCATGAAGCCAGCAATTAAGACCAGTGCAACCTTCAACACTGTGATTTTTTTATCAATTTTTTTTGCCATCGCTGTTTGCTTTGTGGCCCTTATGCACGTCGAGATCGTGCTTCAAGTTCATCGACATACGCTCCAAATCTTGTCTCAAGAAAAAGAGAAAAACCTCGAGCTACTAAACGTAGTTCACCGTCATGAAGCAGCAATTGACCTATTGTTGAAGACGTTTCGCAGTAACTCGGAGGAAAGTAAGTTGTTACACAGCTTAAATTTTGTCTTGTCAGTGTGTATTGTGGGGTATAAATGACAAACGATTGTAGATAAAATGCTTTTCAGAAGAAGGGTGTTTCATTTGCAACACACCAGCATGGCACTGTCGCATTAGCCTATATGAATTACAATATTTTTGTTAAACTTAAACAACAAAAAATTCGAATGGGCAAATTCGACGGCCTTACGCCGTTTATGTTTAAGGCAAATACCACCCTCGAAGAACATGGAAGAAAGTGCTCGCGAACACTATTTGAATACAACAGATTTCCGCCTCGCCTCACAAAATTCAAAATTTTATCGTCCGATTCGCACAGGTGTAGTTTCTTTTAACTGAACTTTTACTCGCCGTATTTTGAAACCGCTTTAGATGGTTTCACCGGGTAATGGAAAACTTTTTATTGAGGGAAAACGACGACTAGACTAAAGAGGGTCGTGAAGGGTGGTACCAAATCCCAGTTCCCAGCCTAAATTTGGCCCAAATCCCAGTTCCCAGGCTAATTTTTGCCAAAATCCCAGTTACCAAATCTAAAATCCCATTACTAATGATTATTTGCAAAATCATGCGCATAATAAATTAAAAGCACTGATTGACGCTATTTGGATACACGTACCTTCACCTGGACTGAGGTCTCTCATTCTGCTGGTAAACACTCTTTCTCTTCCAGCCCTTGTTGACATAACCATATGAAAGCCAATTCTATCATCTGCACAATCCTCGTCTGACTCACTGTCTCCGCTTTCACTGCTAGCTGGTAGCTAGACCGCGGGCGCGAAGGCGAAAAATACTGATTTCACGGTCTCTACTGAGGAGTGCAAGGTCTATTGCTACGAAATTTTATTTTTCTATTTCAAAATATTGGAGCAAAGACCGCTGAGGAAAAGAAATCCCATTGCCATTTTATAATTGTTCATCCCATTCCCAGTGGCTAAATCCCAGTCCCAGTGAGTAAATCCCATTTTCCCAGTCCACAATAAGGCTAATCCCAGTTCCCATTTTACCCCTTCACGACCCTNGATGTACAAGAGGTGTGGTGGTACGGGGGTGTGAGGAGTGGGGGCGGGGCGGTTTGTACTGTCTGAGCTGATTTTTTTTGTTCTCTGCTCGTGTTTGTTGGTGTTACGCGTTGGTGGGGGGGGGGGGTGGTGGGGTGGGGGGGGAGGGGGGTGTGGGGGGGTGGGGTGGGTTATGGCCCATTTCACAACAAAATTAACTTGCAGACTGATTTCGAGGGGAACAAATTCTTGCAAGGAAATACCTGGGGGAAAAAATTTCCTAGACTGAAAAAAAAATCTTTCATGGCTTATAATCCTGGAAAAATATTACACCGTGGTATGTCGGGGAAAAAAATTCCATCACCAGAGGGTTAGAGAAAAAAAAAATTCTTACCCAAACCAAATCACCCATACCCACCTTAAAAGTCAAATGGTCGTTCCCTTAGTTAGATTTTCGCGTCTTGTCAGATAATGTGCACTAGAGACCACAATGGAGCAGGATCAACACAGTTTAATTAACAAACTTCTGTGGTTGACTTCAGCTGGGCCCATTCTCACAGATTTAGTACATATGCACGCATGCGTATTAGAAAATGCTGCTGATCACTACACGCACTATTAGTGATTCCTTAATAGCTCACTTCGGAAGAGAGTGATAGCCTGGGACCCAAGCTTGGCGCGCGCGCATTTATGGGATTATCTGGGGGGTGGGGCGCGAATATAAACAAACATGGTGGAAAGCGAATTGGAATCTTTCAGCGCGGTTAAAAGAGCTCAAAATAGGAAAAAGGAAGGTGGAATTAAAAGGAAAAAAACATGAAAATGTGAAGCTGAAGGAAGATGTGCCTGGGCTGATTTTACCTCGAGAAAAACCAGAAGAATGCACCCTGAAACAGCTTCAGAGATCGCTGGATAGATCTTGCCTTTGGTATTCTATAAAATGCCAGACTACGGGAGTTTCTGAAGTTATTTGTGCACAAAGGCACACAACAACTTGCATCGGCTCAGCATAATTAAAGGAAGCTTCTCGAAATGTACCCCCAAACAATCCCATAAATGCGCGCGCCCTTAGTTTTGGTCCCAGGCTATCACTCTTTTGCGAAGTGAGCTATTGTCATTAAATGACGATGTTTGTAAATAAAGCTACTTGCCTTACTGTTTATTTAAAAACCAAGACTTCACAGAAAGAGCAACTCTATTGTCCCATGGAGGCGTTAACAATCGCCACAAACGTAACATAGCATCAAACACCAATCAAACGATCAGCCCTGAAGAACTGAAGAGGAATGTGGCTACATATGGCTGTCTCCTTATTCAGTGCTCAAGAAACATCAAGCGTGGCCTCCCAGGAAAACAAGGTCCTCCCGGGCCTACGGGAACTAGTGGAACTCCCGGCCTCCAGGGGCCTCCTGGTCCTCCCGGGCCTCAGGGCTCCCAGGGGCTTAAAGGTGACAGAGGTGCTCAGGGACCTTCCGGACCTAAAGGCGACCAAGGACCTCAAGGACCCAAGGGTGCTCATGGTAGGTAAAGTCATTAAAGTTGGTTTTGCCCATCATATACATTTTCTTCGCGAGACATCAAGGCGACACTTGAACTCTTTCCCAGAGACAGGTGATATGGCGTCATTTGGTTGGTGTTGGGGTTCAATGCTAGGGCTTATAAGAGAGTGAACGGGTATTTTCTCAGCAGAGCTTCTTTCTTGTTCTGTCTGTTGTTGCGCCCTCCTAACAAGCCACATTAGGGAGCTTTAGCACCGACGACGGCGACGGCAGCGAAAACGTCACTTTAAAAATGAGTTATCATTTTTTCAAACTTTACCGCGTTTATTCCAATTCGCATGAAATGTCAAATGGGGGCGAATTTCCCTGGAGTTGATTTCTTAGGGACCGCACTCAAGTTTAGAAAGAGAAAGAAAAATTGGTCGTCGCTTGTTTACTTTCTCCATAAAACGTGAAAATTGGCATTTTTACGACGTAGTCGTTCAGTGGCGGCAGAGAAGGAGTGATGCAGGTGCAAATTTGTTGTTTTGCTAAATAAACCTAAATTACTTTTTTGATGTTCTCGTTGCCGTCGCCGTCTCGTTGCTGGCTACCTAATAACAGTGTAATAAAGGCGAAACAGCTGTCGACCGCTACAATCCCGCTCTTTTTTGGGTTCTATTGGTGTCGTGCTCATGCATTGCAAAGCTAATTTTCACGAAGTACGAGTTGCAAATTTCAATGTGTCTACTTGGTATATTGTTGCTGATTAGGTCGTCTTTGCGGCATAATAGTTTGCGGTCCTCACAGAATTTTTTCCTCCGTCTCCAGTCAAATAGGATTTCAAAAAGTCCAATATTGTTTTCAACACTTGTTGGAGGCACACCTTTGTTGTTGTTGTTGTTGTTTTTGTTTTGTTTTGTTTTTTTTTTGACCTAAGTATTTCGAACGAACGAATTTCTATATAAACAAAAATTTAATTTGTTAAATTTAATAACATTATTTGTATTGCGTATATAAATGAGCTGTATCGTATGTAGTTAGATATTTTAATGTAATTCAAATGTACATAATTGTAATGTTCGATTTCTGTAAAAAGATTTTATCTATAGATTTTAACTTTGATCACGTGTAATTCTATTTGATCACTGAAAAGTTCCAGTTAATGAAGTGTTCAATGTATGCATGTATTTCAACCATTCAAACCATTTCGCAGCTGGTTAGGGTGTTTTACTTTGTAACTAAAATGAGTGAGTTTTAGCATTGTTTAAACTGATAACAAAACAAAAACAAGAGTAGCATTTTCCAATTTACCAAGCAACTTTAGCCATTCTTAGAAGTAACTGAGGTTAACTTTAAAGATGTTTGTCAGAGTTTATCGGAATAACCACGGATGGACCAGGTGTATTTGAATGAATGTTTTCTTCTATTTAAAGGTAAGATCAAGAAGGGGCTTGTATCTACTGACCCGGGCCTGTCTTGCGAGGACATCAAGTACAGCGGAATTTACTCGAATGGCTATTACTGGATTAAACCTGCAGGTTCTAAAGAGACTTTCCAAGCATATTGCGACATGTCAGCGGTTGGCGGTACGTAAATACTGAGATATATTAAAACACTAATTCCAATATAAAAATTTCATTCAAAGCCTATTTCAGTTTCAGAAGTGTGATTTTTCGTGATTCACCCTTTTTGTTCTTCCTTATCGATGTAACTGTTTCTATCCGCCGGATGGAAGTGATTTGACAATTCACTTCGGTGACGTATCCGAGGCGAACGGGCGGGACCACGTGACCCGAAAAGCTTTGGCCGCACGGAATAATGAGGCTTAGGGATTGGGCAAGGTATAGTTAACTTTACCTGCACATCGGAGGTGATCCGTGGGGACCATAGTCTTGGTACCGCTTCTGACGCCCGAAAGATAAGCAAATTTTCCTGAGAATGTCCAAAGAAGAGTAACTGAAGAGTAATTATACAAAACAGGCCCGCCATACTAAAGTGCAAGAATAATTTTTTACTGGCATCTGAAAAAAAAAAGCCGGGACTCTCATTGCGTTACCGCCTCTTTGGTTTTCCTTGTTAAAATTTTAACAAAGCGTACATTCCCAGTAAACAAAGAGTAAATTTCTGAGTGCTTACTTTCACCACTTTTCAGCATCTTCCCGTCATATTCTCGAAAAAGAAGGCTTATAAGTTCTTCAGGAAAAGTTAATGTATCTTCTACACCAAGCACCTGGTCTTGGAGGAGCCATTTGTGTGTGAAAGAAAACCTGTAGATAGTCCTTTCCTTTTGTTTATTAATTTATTACTTTTATAATTTACTAGAAAAAAGTCTTTTCCGCTATTCATTAAGCTGGTGTTCTGGTGTTGTATTACTCCAAATCAGTCATCTGTACGGACTGTTGCTAACTTTCGTTGCTATCCAGTTTCCGTGGCGATTCAACGCCGCCCTCGATTAAATGCTGCAGATGGCAGCAAAATTTCCAATAAACGAAACACCCAATCAAAAGAATGCATCGTTTAGTATTTAGATAACAGAGATAAGCTTCAAGTAAAAAAGACTTTCGTTTCACCTGTTATCAAACGCTAGTCTGATTTTTGGATCTGTTAATGTAACCGACATCATCTTTTTGTGCAGCACCAATTTCTCTCTTAAAAAACGAATGATTTTGGGTTTTCCCTTTTTTTGTAGATTGGAAGAAAGTCACTCATGCGTGGATTGAAAAAACTTTTAAACGAGGCGTTAAGCTGAGCTACAGTGAGGAAAATTATGGGCTCGTCATCTCTGGTGACACAACCTCGCGTGGCTGTGGTAGTGGAATAGAACCAGGTGCATTGACGTTAATCAAAGGGTACTGGACCAAAATAAAGTACACGCAAGAATTTCGAGGGTCAGCGTCATGTTGGAGTATATTTGGGGCAAAGTGGTGAGGTTTTAATAACGTTTATAGTGTCAGTGATAGACTTACACCTTCATAAATAAAAGATAAGACTACAGCGTAAACAAGCAGACAAAAGTGCCCTATATTCAGAAGGAATGACGTCGCACCAGAAGGCCAACTGCTAAGGGCGTGTCTGATTGACCGTATCCCGGAATAACTGATACATGGAATAAAATCTAAAAATCACTTGTTTTTCAAACGTTCATTGCATCAGTGAAATCCACTGGCAGAAATCTGCAGGATAATAATTAACTGAAGCCCGATGAATGAAGCCGCCATATGGTCAAGTAATTTTCGACATCTCTCTGTTTTCGGTTGAAGAAATTTCTGTATTTTTACAAACTTTGGAGAAGGTTTTCTTTTGGATCTGGTAAACTTTGCACTGAAGGCTCGCAGAAAGGCCAGTTACTAACATATCGTCGTCTAAAAAAAGTCATATCCTTTCCGGAGTGGCCTTTTCCTCAAACAAACAAAATTTCATTAACCTGATATTTGTTTCAATGAGTTTAGGTATGGCCGTTCGTCTGTCCATCACCCAACAGGTCTGTACGCCTTTAGAGGTTCTCAAGGAGACTCGATAACCAATCAGCACCTCATGGGAGGAAATTGTGAGTAAATTTATACACTTTTTCGTATTGTGTAAATATAGTAAATTTTTCGCTATATAGGAGAGGGTAACGAGGAATTAAGCATAGCATAATTTTTGCCTCTATCAGATTCGAGATGCATTTTGGAAAGTTTGTAAATAGCTGATGTATTTAGGGTACATCTGCCCCGGATAACTGACTGATTCACCCTTACAAAAGAAACAAATAATTCTCATTAAATGTTTTGATTTAGTGAAATCAGAATTGAATTGGGGTCAGACTGCGATATTTGCTTCTTTCAGTGAGTTGAAATCTCTGCCTTTTCCTGCCGGACAAGTAAATAGACCTGACTGTACTGCAAGTGTATTCTTACAAAACACTGTTGTAGATTCTAGTCCAAAACGTCTGTGCACCCCACCCCCCCCCCCCTCCCCCACTTCCCTCGGATGTGGGCAAGAAAGTAGAAACGTCTTTCTCTTCTTATATAGTAGAAATTTACCTAAGGTTGCAAGAAAGTACATATCGTACCAAAACTGCGAAAACATAGCAGAGAGGAAGAAGACTAAATGCAAAGAATGGCACAAAACAAAATGTCCCTTTTCATTTTATTTTTCAGCTCACGTTTTCTATGGCGAGACAACACAATGTAATCACGGAGCGACCAACTTTTGGTATCAAAACAAAGGAAGAGTTCGTTACGCTACCGTTATCCTCAGAAGGATTTTGACGGCAAAAAAGGCGGGAATTTATACTGGTACCTCATGTGGCTATCCAACCTACAATGTCAAGGACATTTTCATACGTTTTTAGATCGCGTATTTACGAAAAGCCAATTCGTTGTATCTGCACTCACTGCAGACATGATATCAAGCAGCACAGATACTATCCTGTGTCCGTTAATTTGGTAGTATTTTCAGCAAAATTTATTTGTACCTTCAGAAGCAGAAGATCCTTGGTTACGAATTAAACTGGAAATATCGGTAAGGTGATATTGTTTTATTGCAGTTTCCTGCCACTGATATAATGAGTATGGATGCATGTTAGTGGCACCCCACGGAAGACAGAAGGGATGTGGAGCGACCAGATTGAAGAACCCTGTTAATAAACTGGTTGAAAACCTAGTAACACCAGCCTCAAGGGAACATATGTAACATCACTAATCAACGCAAAATTATACGTAAAAGCTTGTTATTTAGACTAATTACAATGAACTACTTATGGTATTCCTTAAGATAAAGCGGTCCACCGTCCAGTCATATCCGAAATATCTTCCTTGCAAACTTCCGAGTTCGATTTCTTTAAGCTACTCTTTCACGTCCTGGTCATTACCAGCCGTACACTTAAAGGGCTGAAAGATAACTTTCTTTCTTGTACTTCCCGCGCCATTGGCTATGATAGTTTATCTGTTTTTTAACATTCTCTTGCCTCACAACTACACGACGACGCGCTGGAACTTTCAGGCGCTGTCTGCTGAGCTATGATTTTGATGCGCCGAATCCGAAAACGATAAAGAAAGGATCTTTTAACTGACCTTGTCGACTGAATTAGACACAAACGAACATGTTGCTAGGTAACGTAATGTACCTCGAGGTGACAGTTCGAAGGTTAGCATTTAGCAGTAATGGCGTCAATTATCCATTAGAGTCATTGCTCTTGAGTCGAACTGAATCTATACTACTAAACTGTGACGCCGGTCTGCATAAAACACTTATAAAATTGATGGGAGCTCCTTTATTCTGCACCTCTGTGTACAACACGCTAAAATGTATGAAAGTAATGACATCTGATTACTAATTTGTCCTACCGAATCTCATACCTGAGGATTGTTTTAGTCCCACGTGTAGTGGAAGTTGGAATACTGAAAATTAAGTCGTTGCGTACGCGCACCGCAGCCACTTAACATCCCAAAAGCTTCCTCAGCTCCTTCGTAAATCTGAATATATCTAGCATGTTCGTCAAGCTCAAGTCTCGTTCTAAACATCTGTAGAAATACTCGGGGCACTCACTGCGTAATTGTTGAAGATCAATCAACGTTTGTCCATCTATTTCCGCAATGTCTTCCTTGTGAACCTTTTCTAAACCGATTTCTTTGAACCACTGTTTCACCTCTTCGTTAGTCCAGGTAGACACCCCAGGGGATGAGGGTGCAGTGTCGACATCATCGGATTGAACTGCTGGAGCCACTGGGGTGACGGATGGCCCATCTGTGTTGTCAACATCCTTTCCTCTTCCTCCAAGTTCTTTGATTGGTTTTGTTACACCTGGTTCTATAGATTGCCGACTATTGAAGTCAAACCACAACTTTGTTCCCACGAGCATACCCAGCCAACCGTCTCCTCGGTATTTGCGTTGCATCATCAGCGGAATTATATCTTTTCTTAACTGGTACGCGTACTCTGCCTCTGAACGACAGTTTGGGCTCTCCTTGTATCGTTCCGAGACACAGACAAGGACGACAGAAGAATTCTCAACAGCTTTGGCCATCGCCTCTAAGGTCTATCCTCTCATTTGTTCCAGATCCATCCACACTCTGTATCCACTTGCTTGAAGTCTGTTTTTTACTTCGATCAGCACTTCCTGGGAATCCCATTGGTAGCTGATCATCACGTGATTCCCTGTCGATTCGGTCCTCTCCGCGTGCCTAGCTGTCTTCCCTTCGACCTCCCACAAGGCACCTGCAGCGGCCCTTTGTACTTGTGAGTCCTTACTGTCTTGTAAATTACGTAAAAGGCCCACCGCTCCGTCTTCTTGGCGTATAGCTTTTTTGTTGTTGTCATCAAAGGCTAACATCCACAATGCTTTAATAGCACTTACTTTTTCCGCATCTTCGCTGGACGTTTTGATGACTGAAATCAAAACACGCGTGGCTCCTTTTTGTCCAAGAATTTTCTTGTTTGTGTCGTTGATGGCGAGATGGCTGAGGCCTTCTGCGAGCTCCTTTACAGTATATCCAATCGAACGGCGTTCTTCTGACTGCCATGCCTCATCTAACAATGTTATTATAAAGCTGAGCAAGGTTTCTTCCGCCAAAATGAGATGATTTGTGTTTTCATCAACTAAATACGCCAGAGTAAGCAGAGAGTGGGCTGCAATCTCTCTTAAGTTCTTCTTGGCCAAACAAAGTAGCGTTTCGAGACTGTTTGCAAACAGGTCACGGTTCTTGAACCGTTGTGAAATGTTATACAAAATTCCAAGACAGCTGTCAATTATTATAACTGGCTCCGAGTCTTCATCTCCTTCTTCCCAGTTCAAATTTTCAGCATCAATTCGTTTCACGTTTTCAAGGCACATTGAAATGACACCAGCATTCACACACGCTGAACAAAATCCTTGGTGGAAGTCTGCAAAGTTTTGTATTATCGCTAAGGTATTAAAAAGACAAGCGCAACATGCCCTATATTTCTTACTTTCTGCCTTAGTGGTATTATTGTCTGATTCTTTTTCTAAAACATAATATTCCTCAAAGCAGTACTGCATAAACCGTTTCAGCTCTTCTACGCCTCCCACATCGACAGTAAAATCAAGTAATGTGGTGAATTGATCAGCCTCAGGAGTCCCAGCAGACATGCCAGATTGGACGCTAGTTTTACGCAAACCATTGACTGTCTGCGTGGCCACTTTGTAAAACTCATCAGGATGATTTGAGTTGCTATCAACAAAGGTTTTGAGGGCTTGTAGCCTGTTAAAAATTGTTTGTAGGCTCTCAGCTTGCTCGGGATAATTAACCTTATATTGGTCCAGAGTATCGTTTGGCAAAGCTTTCCAATCCTGAGTGTCGTTACCTTGAGGTAAGTTCACATTCCTTGTCCTGTTTTCGCGGGAGTCTCCATGGGGACTAAACTGTTGGTCTTGCACAGGCATCTGAGTTTGAGCCATGTTCTTGTGCAAAGACTAAAGAGGCGTCTTGACTGCCGGTGGTGCCGCTAATGTTATGGATACGATCTTTAGGGTCGCGTTTCACGTAGAAATCCCTGGAGAAATACGAAGTCCCTAAGCAATGTCGACATGGATGCGTAGTAACTCGAAAAATACAGTTATTATATTAGTCATCAAACGGGAAGAATGTCGTAAGAGACTAATAGAATGAGGACAAAGCCTGTTCGTTTTGCGAGCATTGGTTTGCCCTTGATCTGACCTTGAGATTTTTTGTAGCGATATCGATATGCAGTGCTTACGTGTTCGCTGTGACGTCAATATTATCACGCAATTTCAACTAATCACTGAGAAACAACTAAATTATAAAACAAGAACACAAAAAAATAAACAGGAAAAACGAAACGGGGAATAAAATCACAAAAGGGTAAAAGCGATTCACGCATGGAAAGGGATTAGTGCTCAAAATCTAAAGTANATTAGTCATCAAACGGGAAGAATGTCGTAAGAGACTAATAGAATGAGGACAAAGCCTGTTCGTTTTGCGAGCATTGGTTTGCCCTTGATCTGACCTTGAGATTTTTTGTAGCGATATCGATATGCAGTGCTTACGTGTTCGCTGTGACGTCAATATTATCACGCAATTTCAACTAATCACTGAGAAACAACTAAATTATAAAACAAGAACACAAAAAAATAAACAGGAAAAACGAAACGGGGAATAAAATCACAAAAGGGTAAAAGCGATTCACGCATGGAAAGGGATTAGTGCTCAAAATCTAAAGTAAAAAAATGCTCTTGTCCAAAGAAAATATTTACTAACGTGACCTAATTTACATAGCTTTAATTACCTGAATTCCAAACGCTCTTCAAAAACCAGCATGACATGAAAGGTTTCTGTTTTATACCAAGCATAAACGTAAAAAAGCGCTTCATACACAACTTTTATCAAACGTTGCAGCTGTGCAACCATCGAGTTATGGATGCACTCGGCACTTGGTAAAGCCCCTTATTTCTCGATTTCTGCACCCATGCATATACATTCCTGACTTCCGGACGACGTCCGAAAATTAATGTGAGTTATTTCTCTTGATTATCTAATTAACGAAAAGTCTAGGACAACTTTTCCTCGACCACCTAAATTACGAAAATTCTAGGGCAATTTTCTTTTCGAAATTCAAGACAACGTGTTCTTTCCCTAGAGGAGAAATTTTCCGAAAAGTTTAGGCAACCTTCATGTACGTCCCCAACAGATATTTTACCAAAATCATTCGTTGGGTGCCCCTGACTTGGGAGGTTTGCTAAGCACTCAAGAAGCTAGAGTTGCACTCGGCTATCACCTCCTCTTGCAACTCTTACGCTTCTTTGGTGCTAAGCAACCTCTAGCCTGCGAAGCGCAGACGTTTTTCCGGTCGTCGCAAGCGACCGGAAATACGTCTGCGCTTCGCAGCCTAAGCAACCTCCCGCGTGCATCCGTAATTCGATGGTTGCACGCGGCACTTTCACCATTTCTTAATCGGACTAATCTGGAATCGAGTCCACAATCAAGATACATGTTCGACAATATGAAAATATTATTAATCAATGCGCTAAAATATATTCACGGGGAAACAAGGACGGTCTGTTGAGAATTGCGATCGATTTGTCCGAATTCCGTCGAATTAATCACCGGTGATTTTCACAATCCTCTTACAAGTAGAAGTCAAACGTTAGACGGGCCAACCGTGAGCTGTTTAGAATTAATCATTTGAAGATTCACCTGCGACGAAANGAAAATATTATTAATCAATGCGCTAAAATATATTCACGGGGAAACAAGGACGGTCTGTTGAGAATTGCGATCGATTTGTCCGAATTCCGTCGAATTAATCACCGGTGATTTTCACAATCCTCTTACAAGTAGAAGTCAAACGTTAGACGGGCCAACCGTGAGCTGTTTAGAATTAATCATTTGAAGATTCACCTGCGACGAAAAGCGACGCACTTGCCAAAGAACGTTCTGAAACTTTCTTCGAAGGAAGCAAATCGATTAAAAATCGATAAACATTCTGTATAATCCCATTGGTCGGCTTGGAAGAAGAAATAATCGATAAAGATTTTACGCAATCCTATTGGCCAGCTTTGCAATTTGTTCGGACAATGAAAAACAAACCAAACCGGATTTTTACCGTGGTCTGCCACAGGCATCCCAAGTAATAAAGTCACGTTGGTTTTAGTCTTCTTCCCAAACTATGCAAGCAGGCTACTTAACATTAATGCGCTTGTATATGCTCGACATCAAGAAAATCTGGATCATTCTACGTATCGTCTGGGTAACTGACCACCTACTCCTCCCCTAAACCAACATTAACACTTACTTACTTAGGGCAAAATGTTGGTTTAGGGGAGGGGTAGGTGGTCAGTTACCCCGGATACATCTCGTTCCCTAGGCCTTCGTTACCTTTATCCAGCGAAACGAGCAACGGACGCTAGCTGGAAGAACCCCAAACCGAAACTACAATTCCTGGTTCCGGGTTTGATTGCGCAGGCGTAAAGTAGTTAAGTTACCTCGGTTTCAAACCTCTCTGCCCAAGAGATGTTCTCAAAGGAATTTCTCACAAAACTACGCTTTGTTATTTGTTTCACAGAAGTTTTCTCTACCTGTTACCTTCGATCAATCTACCTGTTTAGCAAAGAAAGACTTGAAATGACTTTGCAAGGGGATCGAATTTTCTTTTCAAACGCCACAACAAGCGTGATGTACGAAAGCCGAGGAGGGACACGGGCTAGCTAGACTTTGGAACTTCAGACTTAACACTTCAGAATTGCATGGGATTTGGCACGTCGTTGTTCGTGCTGCCTAAGTATTGGTCACTTTGTAACATTATCAGTGGCAGCAAGCCAAGTCCCCGGCCACACAATCATGCTTTGTCATGTTTCACATCAACGTGTCGAAAGGGATGTACGTCTTAATCCATTTTTAAGT